GGGATGAAGTTGACTCCAGCTGTTTCCTTGAGCTCCCTGGCCACAGAGGAATAGAGGGAGGCGCCCAGAACAGGCAGGGCTGCTAGAGCCCAGGGAGACCTCCCCTGGCAGAGCTGGGCCTGTCTGACTCAGAGGGTGGGGTGATCCAGGGAGTTCTCACCACCCCAGGCACCCCTGGGGACCTGTCTAGCCAGTTTCCCCAAACTTGCCACATGGGCATTTAGTTTTAAATTCCTCACATGCATCGTGATGGAGACGGTGGCATTCTGGACAAGCACAGTCTTCCTGTGAGCTGCTTCATGGCTCAGCTCTCAGGTAGGGGCCTGGTTTCCCTTGGAAGTAGAGCAAAAGGATTGCTCCTTCCTCAGCCCAGGTCTACAGTGGACAGGACTGGCCTAGGAGGAAGGCCCAGCTCCTATCTCAGTTCTCTTTGAGCTGGGGCCTGGGCAGACTGTCCCCTCCCCAGGCCTCAGTGTTCTCATTTTGGTAATCTCTGAAGTTTGGTGGTTCTTTTTTTTTTTTTTTTTTTTTGTACCAGGGATTGAACCCAGAGACACTTTGGTACTGAGCTATACAACCAGTCTTTTTTATTTTTTATCTTGAGACGGGGTCTCACTAAGTTGCTAAGGCTGGCAGTCCTCCTGCCTCAGCCTCCTGGGTTGCTGGCGTGAAGTTTGGTGGTTCTAATTCAGCTTCTCAGACTTCCCCAAACAGGAAGGTGGGGTGGCCCTGGTGGCTAGAATGCCACTCTTCAAGGAAGAAACAGAACTCAAGAAGTCATCCATGTGAGGGGAGTCAGGTCTCTAGGGAGCTAACCATGCCTCCTCCCCTTCCACCAGGGAGCCATTTTAACACAGAAAGTCACAGCTGAGGAGGTCTTTGGGGACCATTCAGTGTAACCCCAACTGATGAGTGAGGAGCCACAGGCCCAGAAAGAAGAAGGACCTGGCCCTCAGCAACCCAAGGATCGATCCCAGGTCCTATTCCCATCACTGAGGGATCCAAGGTCCTTCTCATCATTGGCTTTGCTAGGTGCCACCTCTCTTGGTCCTCACCACCTCCTGCTCAAACAGAGTGAGGAAGCTCCAGGGCCAGGGGCAGAGGTACCTGTCACAGCTCCCCCCACCTCGTCTTGCCCTCTCCTCCTGAACCCTGTCCCCTGGCAGGCTCATGGAAGGTACTGATGGCAAGGGATCATTCAGGCAGAGCTCCAAGACCTTGCTGGGCTGTCACCTGGCTTTTTGGGTGCTGCCTCCCACCTCCCCTGCCCCAGGGTAGCCTCGGTGGGAGGTGCCCTCTGAATGTAGGAGGGAAGGAGAGAGGCATGGAGCCCAGCCAGCTAGGCCAGTGTCAGGCAGGGCTCAGGCCCTGGCCCAGCTCCCCACCCAACCTGACTCGGGCTGGGGGACAGGGTGTGTGTGTGTGCGCACGTGTGTATGTGTGTGAGCCCAAGCCACATGCAGTGCTGTCCTCCCATGTCTCCTGACCTCGTGCCCCTGTGGGAAGAAAGCTGGGGACTGGGCCTGTGAATGGAACCTGAGGGCCACATAGGAGAGGAGGATCAAGCTGCTGATTCCCCTCCACCCAGTATTAGACGGCTAATGATGGTGAACGATGGGGGTCTTAGAACCTGAATCAGGACCACAGAACTGTAGCTGCCAAAGAGGGCATGGACCAAGGGTTTTTAATCTAAAGGCACATGGAGGGTGGGCTTCTGAGTCCTCTGGTGAAATGGTAAGCAAAACTGTGTGCATGCAGTCTGTAGCTCCATCGGGGCCTCAAAAAGTCTATGATCTAAAAGAGGCAAGAGACCTGRCCCCAGCTGTGGGGTGGGGATTCAGAGAGGCAGACAAGGGAGCTGGTAATGGTTCTCCGGCTGGTCCCCTAGGAGGGGAAGACAAGGCTTCTAGGCAGTGGGGGAGGAGGAGGGAGGGTGGCCTGAATAGCACTTGGCCCTGGAGGCTGGMTGCAGGGGTTGGAGTCCTGGTTGGGCCACTTAAGCAAGTCACTTCTCTCAGTTCTTCAATTTCTCCATCCGTAAAATGGGGGCTCAGGACAGCAGCTTCCTAAAGGGACCTCATTAACCCTTTAGCTGAAGGTTCTTGGAGTGATCCAGAAGTGGGAAGGACAGGACAGGAGAAGCCAGCCGAGGGGAAAGGCGCTTTTCCCTGTAGAGTACTTTAAAATTCAATAGTCAATGCCTGTGGCTCCATTCACATGCATTATACTTGGAGCGGTGCCTGGCACACTAAGTGCTCCTGCGAGATCACAGGGCTGAGCCACTGGATGGGACTGGCAAGCGGCTCCCCCTGCCATTCCTCGTTCAGCCAGCACTGAAGGAAGGTAGCGCACTTCCCTTTTCTGGGTTCAGTTCCTGTCTCTGTAAAGGGAGGCTCCTGTGGCCCCACTGAGGCTCAGCTGGGCTTCAGGGTGTCTTCCTTATCTCACTCTCACGAGGGAGGGACGGTGCATTTGTTGGGGAGAAGCCTCCTCTCTGGGCTGCTCCCAGGAAGTATTTCCGGAGAAGGCCCAGAACTCCCAGCTTCAGATGGCCATGCCCCAACCAGTGGCCCCCCAAGTCTCCGCAGGGCCTGCCTGGGGCCTGCCCAGACCAGATCCCCAGCAGGCTGGGACGCAAAGGCAGGTGGGGCCCAAGGTGGTGGGCGGGGAAAATGCTGGACTTTAGCCAAGCAGAACACACTCAAAGGGGACTTCCCTCATTAACCTTTTAGTTGAAGAATCTTGGAGTGATCCAGAAGGGGAAGGTCAGGAGGGGAGAAGCCAGCGGAGGGGAAATGTGGTTTTCCCTGTAGAGTACTTTAAAATTCAATAGTCAGCACAGGTACAGAGCGGGCAGCTCTGGGACCACACCACTGGGATCCTGAATAGGTGTGTTGAGGGTAGGTCTGGGAGAGATGAGCTCACCTCCAGAAATAGGATCTGTCAAAATTGTTCATCTGTGTTTATGGTCACAGTGACCCCTACAGCAGTTTTATGCATCTCTGGAAATGAAGGTGGGGGCTCACTTTATACCTTTCTTTTTCTTTTCTTTTTTTTTTTTGGTACCAGGGATTGAACACAGGGGTGCTTAACCCTGAGCCACATCCTCAGCGCCCCCCTCCCCATCACACTAAATTGCTTAGAGCCTTGATAAGTTGCTGAGGCTGGCTTTAAACTTRTGATCCTCCTGCCTCGGCCTTCAGAGCTGCTAGGATTCCAGGTGTGTGCCACTATGCCTGGCCCTCACTTTATACCTTCTTGTTGTTGGTGGTTTTCTTTCTTTGTCTATAATAGCCATGAATTGCCTTTTTAAAAAATATTTTTTAGTTGCCAATGGATTTTTCACTTTATTTGTTTATTCATATGTGATGCTGAGGATTGAACCCAGGGCTTCACATATGCTAGGCAAGTGCCCTACCGCTGAGCCACAACCACAGTCCACAAATTGTTTTTATAAGCAGAAAATATATGATTGGAAGCTGTATACACAGAAATCTGTGTGCTAGACCCTCCACAAGGAGGCCTTGGGGATGCAGCAAGGTGTCAGACTTGGTCTATCTCACTAGAACCTTGGGGTCTGTCTGGTGGAGTTGGACAAACCAGAAAAAAATTGGTGATGCAGAGAGGGAGGTGGTGGGGCCAGGCAGTGCCGGGCAGGGCGTGCAGATACTAGGACCAAGGTGTGGCATCCTGTTCTGTCTAACAGGCCCCGAAAGCTCAGACTACAGTAAGGTGCCTTGTCAGCCTAGGTGGTACAAACCCTCAAGGAGTTGTCACTTGTCACCATGGTTGTCACCACGACTCAGGCAACAATGTTGTCCCAACCAAGACCCAGACCTGAGACAGATGAGCGAACCCACATTTGGTAGGCTGCTGCTTAGACTCCAAGTCTGCCTGTCCAACATAGCAGCCACTGACTACAAGTGGCCATTGAGGGCTTGAAGTGTCACTCTTCAGAAGCGGGATATGCTGCACGTCGTGGTACTCTAGATTTTGAACACTTCATATGAACAAAAGAAAGTAAACTATCTCTGTAGTATTTTTTACATTGATTAAATATTGAAATGACRCTCTTTCATATATTCTGGGTTAAGTAAAATATATTATTAAAATCAGTTTGACTTTTTTTCTTTTGTGGTGCTGATGACTAAGCCCAGGGCCCTCCCTGCACATGCTAKGTGAGCGCTTTATCACTGAGCCACACCCCAGCCCTTACCCATTTCTTTCTGCTTTCAATGGAGCTACTAGAAAATTTCAAATTACATACGATTCTTGCATCACATTTCTATTGACAGCACACTTGTCTGGAATGTTTCAGAAAATTTAGGAATTTTTATTGTGGAAAACAGAACCAGTCATAAAATACTTTCTCTGGGTCTTTTTACTTCACCAAAGAACAAAAGCCCAATCATGGGCTTTGAAAGAGAAGTTTCTCGTAGTTTCAGACCCACAGACAAATCTGTCTCAAATGCCCTTCTCCCCAGGTCACTGCTGTTTGTCCTATGAGACAGTTTGGGTGTCACCTCTTTCATGAAGCCCTCCTTGACCACCCCGTGGCTCGACTCTGCCCTGTGTCTGGTCCTGGCTTGATMAATGGGTGTCGTTCATCCCCTGCAGTGGGCACAGGCTCCTGAGCAATGCCAGTGCAGACGTGGCTGTATCCCAGCACCTAATGCAGGCCTGGCATGAAGCAGAGAGCCACCACCGATTGTGGGAAATGAGCCCCGCTTAACTTGGGGTACCCATCGTTAGGCCACCTCTGTGCCCCAATTCCCCATGACCTACAGGAGCTGACACCCCCATCCCAGGCCTTTYTGCCGTGAGCACTAACCATGCCTCCTCCCGGCAGCCGCCTAGATTGGCATCAGGAAGGAAGAGAATGACAGGGGGTGAGGCTGATGTCCCCTCAGGCCAGCACAGGGGAGGCAGGTTCCTCTGTGGCAAGCAGGGTGTCCCTACCCAGAGCAGACCCTCAGACCCGGGAGCAGAGCTGTACTCACCAGTGGAAGGAAGGTCAGCAGGGGCCGGACTCTTGGCCGAGCTTTCAGTGTGGCCGTTCCCGACTCGCTCACCGTGTTGAACCGATGGTCTCCATAATAGATCCCATCTGGAGGAGAGTGGGGACAGAYCGTGAGCTGGAGATCAGAGGGGACGCCAGGCCAAGTGCGACCCACCCTGCAGGTCCCAGTGAGGAAGCCATTAGCCTCAGCTAAGACCCTCTACTACAATAAGGTCCTGGGCATATTCCGTGTGCTCATGGGGCCACTGAGGTGGCCTTGTGGGAGGGACTCAGGGGTCGTTGCCRGGGGTCTCCTCCAGCGTTCCCAGGGCTTTCAGTCCCTCAAAGGTCATCTCTCTCCTTACCTTCCACACCACCCCCCACACAGTGTCATGGGTCCCCAGGCTTCACTGCCACAGAAAAGTGTCCYTCCTGGGGCCAGGAGAGCTTGACCAAGGTGATGACCAAAGCTTATCTCTGAGAGAGGGAGGGAAACAAGGCAGTTTTTCCCTCAAGTGTTTGCATTTCTAATGTGGAACTAGCAGAGCGCACGAGGCCACCTGCTGTCCCCTGTGGCCAATACTCCATCTTCTGGACCCCTCAAACCCAAGAGTTCCCTAGCCCCAAGCCACCAAAGGCGTGTGCACAGCTTTCTTTGATGTACTCTGGAGGGCCGGGGAGAAACAGTGGGGCTGTAGTAGTGACCTAGGAAAACCCCAGCTCTGCCACTGACTGGCCATGTGGCTCAGCCCCTCTGGGCCTCCCAGGTTGCCAGCTGTGCAACAGATGTGATGCTAGTGCCAGCCTCTTACGACTGTTGTTTGTGAGGAGTAAGTGTGAAGTGTTCAACAGACCTGGTCCCTTCCCCTGCAGGGAGATGTCACAGAGGACCCTCCCCTTCCTCCAGTTCCTGGGCCCTGTGTGCAGCTGGGGAAGGAGTGAGGCGACATGCCCTCTTTCTCAACCAAGCTCCCTTGTGACCCTGTCACTCACTGATAAGAACTTTGGATCCCCTCCCAGATGCACACTGTCACCTCCTCAAGGCAGGGATCACCGAGGGCCTCTTCCTATGTGGGCCACCAGCAAGGAGGCCTTTCATCCACTTAACAGGGTCTGAGGGACTTTCTCCTCCTCTGTACTCAAGAGAGGAAAGAGAAGAAGGTTCAAATCCCCGTTAACCAGAATCCGGACACTTGGAACTCCAAACTAACTGAGATTTCTTTCTCCTTTATGAATGACTTGAGGAGGAAATTGCAAGAGAGCCAAATAACATATTCAAAAGAGCCCGGGCTTGTCAGAGAGGTGCTGGGATCAGAATGTGTCCATCCCAAATTCCTACTCCTGTAGTCACTGTCCTCCATGAGCAGCTAGGCTTCAGGTGTGACAGGGAGGCGCCTAGCACTGTGACCACTGGTRGGCAGGGCCCTCAGTGTGCTGCCCTATCAAGGAAGAAAGTTGGCGAATACATCCAAGACTGTCCACCTCTCAAAAGAGTACCAAACAACCGGTTCTGTGCGCATCTCCTGTTCCTGGAAGCCCCAGTTCCCAGTGCTGCCCTGCCCCAGGCACTGGGCAAACATGATTCCCCAGTCAGGGCTGCCAGGCTCCACGCCTGAGGCTGCAGAACAGGACTGGAAGGGCACCAGGAAGGAGCCTAAGGGTGCAGCCTTGGCCCAATCAGAACAAGAGAGGGGAGAGAAAATGCACCTCTCCAGGGCCACCACCAAAGCTTGCCCGACCCCGAGCTTCCAAGTCTGTGTGCTGGTGCCTGGATCTCCTAGGACAGGCTCCAGATGCCTGGATCTCAATGACATGCTCTTCACGGGACTGGGAAGGGAACATGGGACAGCCTCTCTCCTGGGCAGACACACTCTCTCACTCGTGTGGGAGTCTAGGAAGCACCTTTCTGCAGTTATTCTCATACTAATGGCCTCTATTAGCATGCGCCTAGGAGTTTCAGAAATGTTTTATCTGAGCAAACCCCCGCCCCCAGCAAACTCTGTTAGAAAACTCTGAGATTAAAAAATACAAGGTAAGATTTACTGAATGCTTTCACATTCAGGCACTGTTCTGAGAATCCTACACATTATTAATTCATGGTTTAATTCTCAAAACAGCCCCATGCAAATTGCTTTAAAGATAAGGAAACTGAGGCAGAGCCTCACCGGAARTGTTAAAGCCAGGGCTTCCCTGAAGGATCTGACCTCTGAACCACCACAACCCACAAAGGAAGGACTCAACCCCATCATTTTTAGGACTTGGATGGGAAGATGGGGTGCAAAGGGAGGGGTGTTTTTTTTTGGGGGGGAGGGTCAGGAAGTCTTGGCTTTGGCCAATGAGCAGCTTTCACAAAGCCACCCCCGGGTCAGGACAGAGTCAGCTCTGAACATGGCCATCTGACCCCGGGCTGGCCCAGGCGGGTGTTCTAGCTACGTCACAGATTCCATGACTCAGCCCCGACTGGAGCACTGTGGCTTTGCTTGGCCCGTGGTTGTTCTGAGCAGGGGATTCCTTCCGTACCATACAATTGTTCTCTGTAAATCATACAGAAGGGGCGTGGCTGTGGCTGTGGCTATGGCTGGGGCAGGGCTGGTGGAATCGTCCCCCCTGGAAAATCCAATTGGCACCTCTGGAAAGTCAATTTGCTTTCCCAGTCCTCAGCGTTGTGTCACGTGTAAGTGTGTAAACACAAAGATGGAAGCAGAGCCCAGTGATGTGACGAGAGGATTCCACCAGCCACTGGCCATCAATGGCTTCAAAGGTGCAAGGGGATGGCCAAGGAGTGGCAGCAGTCTCTAGAAGCTGGAAAAGGCAAGAAAATAGACCCTCCCTAGAGCCTCCAGAAGAGCCAAATCTTCCCAACCCCTTAATTTTAGCCCTGTGTCAGACTTCTGGCCTAGATGATTGTAAAATAATAAACAACAATAAGCTTGCATTGCTAAGAAAGAAAGAAAGAAAGAAAGAAAGAAAGAAAGAAAGAAAGAAAGAAAGAAAGAAAGGAAGGAAGGAAGGAAGGAAGGAGGGAAGGAAGGAAGGGAGGAGGAAAGAAAGAAAGAAAAAAAGAAAGGAAGGGAGGTGTAACCAGGATCTGATGGGCCTCTCTGGGCCCTTCCTATCTGGCTCAGTTTCTGCCAGGTCAAGGAATGCCATTCGGTGAGACGTGTGTGGCCATCACCATAAGCTAGGTCCTCCAARTATTCAAGATCAGCTAAAGCTTTCCCAGCTTCAAGGTCAAGGACCAAAGCTGAACAGAAAGATAGGAGTCCAACCTTGGGGACTTTCCCATGGAAGTAAGTGAACTCCACTGGATTGGTGGCAGGGATGGTGGAACAGGCCTTTCGGAGGAGCAGCCCCTTCCGCTGCTGAGAAGTTAAGGTGGACTTGGAAGGTCCTGATGCCTGAGGGGTGAGGGAAAGGAGGAGGTGAAGGGGTGGCTGGAGAGGAGGCTCACACAGAAGGTCCTACCCCAGCAACTCAACACCCTGAACCGAGCAACCTCTGCATCTGCCCTTTCCCTACGTTCCTTTCCCACTGAGTTCTTGGTGATTCCAGAAGTTTCCCATTTGCCACAGGCCTGGGTCAGACCATGAAGATCCAGAGGGATTCAAAAGAAAAAGAGAAAGAGCTGCTTTGAGACTCAGAAGCTTCCAGAGAAAGGGAGGCCCTTCCGGAGAGTCCTGGGCAACAACAGCAGCCAGAAAGGCTTGTGAGCAGAGCCTGAGTCCCTGGTGGACCCCAGSCCATGGAGGCAGGAGGCTTCGGCTCAGTGTCTGACAGATCCACCTACCAGTAATGTGGTGATAGAGCAGGAGTAGGTTCAGGTCTGCCTCCATTTACCCAAACCCGAGCACTAACACAGTCCTTCCCCACAGATTAAGCCCTCTTCATGACAGGATTGTGTGCAGGACTCCCTTAGTTTTCCTCCCTAAAAGTTTCTCCCTCACATATTGACAGGGAGTGAAGGAGAGACACTGCCTTCCTTTACCCTTGCTCAGGATTGGAGTTGCCATAAATAACATCTAATATCCAAAAACCCATTTCAGAATCATTTCTTGATGCCTGAAGACACGCAGCTCCCCTCTTGACCCCCTGTCTCAGAACCTGACCTTGCCCTTGGCTTAAGGAAGTCGTCCGGCCGTGGCTAAGGCTCTRTCCCAGGTCAGAATCACCCAGGCCGAGGCCAGCTCCTCATCTGGGAGGGGAGGCAGGGCATCGTGGGGTCAAGACTGCAGGTTTAGGGCCCAGGTGAAGTTGGGCTTCAGTTCTGCTCYGTCACTTAACTATGGGGCCCTGGAGGATCACTCGGTCTCTTTTTGTAAATGTGAACAATGGTCCCTACTGGGTGGGCTAGTGAGAGCCTGAATGAGAAAAGGTATGGAATGTGTGAGCCCAATGCCTGATGGGTAATTTTTGCTCAATGTGTGGGAAGGCTGATTATCACCTTATCATTGCCATCAGCATGGCTCATTCTCTCTTCCCCCACCAAGAGTTTGGGCTTTGGAGTTTGAAGCAGATCATGACACATGCAAACTAGGGAGAACACCTGAACCATGGCTGAGTGCCATCAGGAGGCAGGTGATCCTTTGCTCTCTCAGGGATCATTCTGGRTCCTAATCCCAGTTTAGCGCTGGTTCCAACCACCCTCTTGGCAAATGGGGAGACTTAGACCCAGAGTGGGAGGAGTGGAACCAAAGTCACACAGCTGTGGTGGTGCCTGGGTTTACAGGGTCCTCGACCTGCAGTTTGAGCTGTCCTTCCCCCACACAGGGCTCCCTGCTTCTCCCCACAGCAGTCTGCTCTCTGCCTGAGTGGGGTGCATGTGTGTTTAAATTGGGGGGTGCTCTGGGAACACTGAGGGCTGGGACAAGCTGCTGACTGACTCTCAGCTCCTTTTTCTCCCTTCTTCCCAAGAAGAGGAGCCTAATGGAGTCTTCTGCATTTCTTTTCTCMGAGTTAAGGGTTGAAAGCCTGGTAAAAATGGTCTTTCTTCCCCAGCCCCAAAGCTGCTCACAGAGCTCATGGAGATTGAGGTTAGAAGGTTCTGGGACAATTATCTGGTTCTCCAAATCCTAGATCTGTCCAAACTAGAGAGAAAAATTAATTTAATT